GGAAAATAGATATCTATAGTAAGATCACTATACATACTAAGGTGAATTTTGCGAGTAAGAGGGATTTTTTGCTCCTACAAACTAGCTGATATAAAATTTTTAGATAAAAAATATTACGCAAACTTTGTGTTATATATACTAGTTTTTGTGATATTTAAAAACGATATTTGATAAATTTTTCATTCTCGAATTTAATTTTAAATATAAAAGCACTAATACTAATAGAATAATATAACCATTTTGTGATATTGAATTGAAATATCTTGTAATTGGTTATTAGTCAGGGAAACCTATTTATGTAAGATCCTAGCAAAAGGACAATATTGTGCTACCCATATGTTCAAGATTCGAAAGAGTATAATAATTCTACAACCCTGTAAAAGATGTGGTCGAGGGACTAAATCGAGTCTTCAGCTTTGTGTCCCATGTAGCCAAAGTAGGAAAAGAGTATATAAATATTATAAACAGAAAAATAACTAATTAAACTTATCATTTACATAAGTAACAATTAACTATTATCATTTTCATAACTATATACCATATTAATACAACGCAAAAATGTATATCCAAGAGCCAGAATATAATAAAAAATTCAATGAACCTGAAGAAGTGCTTAATCTCTCCACTAATCATTGGATTAAAAGGAAAGGAAAATTATATAATAGATTGTTATGCGAAGGATATAAATATGCCAGAGATCTTATACATTATTTAGAAGATATTTTACCAATCGATTTAGATGAATACAGTACAATTTACCCCCTAGCTGACTTTTATTATCCTGCTCTAATACCACCTCTTTCTATTTTAGCTCAAAGAGGAGACATATGTAGAAGATATCCAATTACTATATCATCTATTATTGAAGGAGGAATGAGTCTTTTCACTATAAAAAGAAATGAAAAAATGTCTTTAAATAACTTGATCGAGATGAATTACTCCAGCTTAACTGCATTATTAGAAATATGTTAGGATAGTAATAAAGTGCACAAATAGAGAAGTGTTATACTTATGAAATTCCTTCATAATCTGAATTTGATTTCCTCAAAATATAGTCCAAATGCCTTATATGATGCATTCACTAAAGCAAATGTTCTAGAGCCAGAACATATATTAATTCTAGCTTGAGCAATATACTAAAAAATAAAACACAATATACAATTAATATAGCCTGAGATCTCATCTCAAAGCTATAAATTTTTTTCATTATATCCTATATATTAGTAAATTTCAAATCGACATATTACTTTTACTTATGCAAATACATAAACTCTTTTTTTCTAGGTATAGAAGGAAAAAGTGTAATTAATTTCAATTTTTAAAAATATTTTTTATAGTGTATATAACCTAAAGAACTGCTCATAATCTACCCAACCTATTATAACATTCAATCATGTCAGCTATTACAACTAAAATCATTGAAAAATATAATCTTAGCTCTAAGATGTATATATCTGATCTCAGTTAATATACCTCAGAATTTCTTGAAAACCTTACCAATAATAAGAAGTGGAATCAGGCTCGCAGACGCCTTCAGGATAGTTTTAAATTTAGCAGTGAACAAGTAGATGTATTGATACCTAATCAGAGAAGTGGGAAAAATAAAACTATAAATTTGGTTGAAGGTAATTGTAGAATAGCAATAACCAAGCCTCCAAAAAGTTTAGAAGAAGAGATCATCAGAGAGAAAGCAAAACAAATCTTACAAAATAGATATAGGTTTAGTGAAGATCAAGTAAATGCCTTATTCACAATTCTGAAAAATGAAAGTAGACACAGTGTAACTACCTCAGATAAAAACATAAATATTGTAATCGCTAATTAACTCTCTAAAGGAATAGAGGAAGAAACAATTGGAGATATGGCGCAACAGATTTTATGAGATAAACTTAGCATTAGAGATATAAGAGCTGAAGCTTATGCCTTAGAACTATTAGCAAAAAATGCTAATGCTGGCTCATCACATCTCACTCGTCTTCATAGAGAATTAAGGAATCTTAATGCATTACTTGAGATAATTGAGGTTACAAAATTTCTAGATATTACAGAAGATGCTAACAAAATCTAGAGTGTCAATCAAAAAAAAGCTGAAGCTAAATATATTGATTATTCAGATGAATTTATATTAGAATCAGTCAAAGAAAGATTAGATGCGTATGATATTAAAACTTTACCTGATTGTCAGGCTCTTGCTGATGTTATAGTGATGCTTTGTATTCATCCTGCTGAACTTAAAACTTTACATATTACAGATACTGGAGTGACAGGATATGCGAAGAATTTAGGTCAGCCAGATATTCCTAGAAAATTTAGATCAATGGAAAAGAATCAAGAATGAGCCAAAGAAATACTCACTTGGATTTAGCATACTATATCATCTGGACGAATGAGTAATCTAGGTAAGCCAGAAGTTAAGTGGTTCAATAAATTCTTAAAAGATTATGATTTCATTCCTAAATATTTATGTAAATTAGGAGCAGTTTATAGTGCAGTAGCACATGAGGCTAAGAATATAGCTCATGCTTATACAATTGCTAGAGAATGTCTACGTCATTCATCTAATAATCATACTTCTCCTGTGCAAAATTACATTGTAGTCAATTATAGAAAAAGAGGAGTTCCTTTTGAGCAAGCAAAATGATTTCATATCTATGATTAAGATTAATTTGCTTCTTCACTTTTACTATATCTACAGTAAAATCTTCATTATTATAAGAGGATTCAGAGCTGAACCCAGATTCAGATGAGGACTCAGATACAGTATCGTTAAAAATTGGTTTTTTCTTTTAGCCTCAGATAGTGTATGATTTCTCTGAGAAATATCTGGGTTTGCTATCAAGTTTATAATATCCTG